TCAACAAGAGAGCATATGTAATGGTAGTTGGTTGTGCTCTCAAATGTGCCTGAATTGCACTGCTTTGCAATTTCTTGCAACTCAGTAAACTCTCTAATAATGAGCTGTAGTTTGCACCAGAACTGTGTGAGATGATTCCAGAAACAAAAGCCATGAAATAGAGCTCCTTATATCTGAAAACAGATAGAAAGATGAATCAAGTTCTACATGATGCCATCTGACAGGCTTTGTTTTTTATAATTATTTTTAATTTCTTCCTGCAGTGATGGAAAAAGAAAGCTGCATGATCCAGGAATTGACTGTGCAGAGCACCATAATATGCAGACAATGAAATGGATGTTTTTAGCCTCAAAACTTTTTTTGTTTACTTGTGTGTTTTACTTAAAGGGATACTTTGACTCTATTACAACTTAGGAAAGTGGCTTCTATTTTCTAAAATATGTATGTTTCTCCTGTTTCACATTGGGATGCAAAAATCTTACTATAATGAAAAATCTGACAGCTGAAAAATCTCACTGTGGTGAATGTTGTGTTTGCTAGTCCTGATATTAAATGAGCTCTTTATATATAGTAAATTTTTTAAACAGCAAGTGTTTTCTTCTTTCCTCTCTGAGGGTAACATTTATTTCTATTGGTTTTGAGTCTTGTAAAAGCCATAAGACCGTGAAAAGTCTTCATTTGTTTGACGGAGAAAGCAAGAACATTTTAAAATTTGGAAAGATCCTTGTGCTTGTTAGATCTTGCTGTCATTCTGTGTACAAACATAGGAGAAAGCCTCTCTTAACACAGGATAAATAACACTGTTCACTTTGTCAGGAGCTGAACATGATAATTTTAGCTTCTTTTTATGATAGCACTTTTCCTTCCTCACTGAAAACAATATCTTAATTCTAACTTCGTGTTTTTCCTTATCTTTTTGCATCCTGTTTATTATTCCTTTATGACCATGTTATTTTATAACTCATTTACAAGTTTACTTTTTTGTCTCTTTTGACTCTTTATCCAAATTTATTGTAACAATTTATTTCTAGTGTGGAATATTTGGAAAAATGGAAATTTTATGGAAGGTACTTCCGATTTTTGTCCTTCCCAACTGTGTGTACAATGCCTGTGCAACAGTAAGCTGTACATTGTACCTGTGTTTGCCTGTAGAAACTGTTTCCCTTTTAAGTTATTTTTCTTCATATTTGTGATCAGCCTTTGTGTACAGGTCTTTGTGTGTTAATGATAGTACGCATTTTTTAGGATCTGAAGATGACTGTGAATGTACGTGCATTAGAAAAACACTTGTCCGATTCTGCTGCTGTGTTTGTAGAACGGGAAGCAGATGTGGTTTAACACTCATACAGTTCTTCTTCCTACAGACAGAAGCTTGTTAAAAAGATGTTTTGCATAAATTTGATTTTGGTCTGGTACCTTATGGTGTTCTCTCAATGAATAAAACATTACTTTGAAACAATGGTTTGCATTAAAACAGTCTTGAAAGACTTGTGCAGTCAGTCACATTGTCACAATTAGACATTAATTTATCCCTGTACCTAGTACCATGTATAATCTTTGTGGATGTGGTCTGGTTTAGCACTCCAATACGCTACTACATCGTGTAATCTGATTGTGGAGCTTCCTGAGCTCCACCCAGAAAGCAGGTTCATCGTGCTGCTCATTTCTGTTGGGAAGCAGTTGTAAATATTTCCTCTCTAATGGGAAGCTTTCCTCTTTATTCTAGCCTGCATTTATTTAGGGTTAGTTTATATCTATTTAGTCATTGTCAGTATTATCCTTCAGTTCAAACAGCTCCCTTTTGTCTTTGGCATTGACCCACAAAGTCTTTACAGAGCACAGTTTTGTTCTATCCAGCCATTGTTTTGATCAGTGAGCTGAGCAATTTTTGTCCCTTCTGAAACTGTAGGCTCCCATTCATTACTCCTATCTGAGTGGAGCTTCTCTGCACCTGATGAGTTTTCTCTTTTGTTCTATCAATAACTAGAGAACAGTGTATTCTACTGTTGACTTGCATGAAGACATAACTATTTTCACTGTCTCTACTGGAAATAAATTTAAGCAGTTTGGTGCATACAGTGATGGTTTGTGGTCAGTTACCATGCAGTCTAAATTCACTTTTCTGCCTCTTCAATTAGATGAATTCTATATATGGAATAAGGATTCATATTCACATTGAAAGGTGTGTTTGTGGCCATCATATTTAATCCTATTCTTGTCATTTCAATCTGAAAGTTCATTAATTTCTCCCTCAGATAATGTGGCTTGCCTTTCTGTTGATGGACATGTTGAAGATAAAATGTTGAGAAGCAGTCTCTGGACACTAAAGAAAAATTAAGTCACTCCCTGGTCCAGTATTCAAGGAATCCAGTAGTGAAATATAAGAATGCAGTACAGAGTTAAGCCCAGGTCTATCCATGTGCATTCATCAGATTGCTGATGTACCCTATTTCTTATAGGCGTAAGCAATAATTTCTTCTTTAATTATTTTACGTATCTTCTGCCCCTTGCCTTAGTTGCAATTTCTCCATTCTCTGGTTTTCCCATGGTGTTCTGATGCATTATGTTCCCCCAATTTTAAAAAAAGGAAATTTAGTGAAAAAAGATGAGGTTTTTTTTTTTTGTTGACAGTTTGTTCTCCCATTTTCAACTTCCATATTTATTTCCTTCAAAACTTGTTTCACATCCTTGTTTGTTAAATGACTTTAGAGTTATGGGTCCACATTGTGCCTCCTTTTTCTTCTTTCTTGATATTCTTTGTTAATCTCTGTGCATATCCAACTGCCATTTTTTGATGGAATTAGTAAAAATCCCTTTTAATGAATTTATAAGCTATTCTGTGTGAGGGTAATCCTGTAAAGACTAGCTAGACTTCTATGAAATATGTATTCCTGGGGACCTTGGGTTTGCAAGAGGCCTTGGAGTTTTTGTTCTTGAAAAAAGTAATTTTGCTAGCAGCATGCCAGAGGACTTTATTGTTCCCTTGCCCCCATTTCCCCTTTTAGAAAAATGTACACAACTTTCAATAAGTATGTTTGCAGATAGGCTTGCCTAATCCATGCTGCAAATGTTCTGAAAAATACGGGCCAAAAAGTGCAGAAAAGGAGTGGCAGGAATGTACAGCTAGATTAGGTCTATGGTATTTCCTCTCTCAGCAAGATGGTCCCAGATTAAATGCTCGTAAATTTTCAATAATTTAACGTAATTATAGCTTTACAGGAAGTGTTGAAACCTTCCCTTTCCTACAGGAGAATCTGTTTTCTGCATTCTTACAACCATCTGAAGTTTGTTATCCTACTGCAACTCTCTTCCACAGTCCTGTGCCTTCCCAATTGTGGATAAACATCATGGTATTTCTTTTGTTTGGCAGTTTCATATTTGAATTTTTGCCAGGCTTTTGACAGTTTCATAGCTAAGTGACCTTGAACAGTGACATTTATATAATGTCTACTGACTTCTCTTGAAAATGGTTGAGCACTGCTTTAGAAAGCAGAAGTTTCACTATCCAGACTATGTAACCTTTATTCTACTTCTCAAGGTTCAGTGACGTGTTTGCATGATTTACAGGAGGACATGGCAATGGTCAGCGTGTCACACAACAGCATTTGAGTGAATTTCTTCCAAATGTGGTCTCTGTTGAAAGGGAATCGCTACCCATTGCAACACTGTAGGAATGTGGTAAAAGGATAATGATTACATGAAGAATTTAAACATGAAAAAGGCCTTTATATTTGTATAAACTTGTATATCCTTGCAGAAGGTTTTTTTGTTTTCAGCTGGGCTTCTTTTACATGGAGAAACTTCAGAGCTGACTAGAAGAGTGAGGTCTCTGGCACATCTGATTTGACTGTTATTACTTGGTGAAATTCATGCTTGGGCACGATATGATGTTAAATCAGTAAGGAAGTGATTTAAAGAAGTTCTGATAAAAATCAGATGAGATCTTTAACTGGTTGAGAAGACTTTCTCAAAGTGACATTTGTATCTACTTTGTGAGAATATGAAAGAGCTACCTTGTTCAAGGGAGCTAGGTACACTTCTGCTACATGCGTTCTGAAATAACCTTTTTCCCATTTGAGTATGAATTTTCTTTAAAACTGTGAGGTATGGATTTTTGTTTTTAGAGGTGCTGCAATGCCTTACGGTTATATGAACATAGTTAGGTATGTTTTGCTTTTCTTTTGGATGGATCTTGGCAAGTAGGATTCCTGAAAAATATCTGCTAGAATTAGGGGTCTGATCCAGAAAGGACCTGCTCACTCTTGTTCTTTGTTCTATAATGTGAAATGCTGGGATTTGTTGCTGAATAAAAAATGCAGAAATGGGCAGGGGGTTTGGTGTCTTCATAGCCTCATAAATTGTATATTTCATTTGGATATTTGCAAATTAGATTTCAGTTTTATATATATTTAACTGATGGTGTGTGAAAATGTGCAGTTTACTCTATATAAGCCTTTTTTAACAGATTTGCTCATTTTCCCAAATTGTATGGCATTTAATTCCCATAACATAACCTCTGTTCTCAAAATAATGATTTGTGGTTCTAAAAAGCTGAATCTGCATCCCTTCTGTTGAGAGATGCACCATTTCCTTTTGTTTCACTTAAACTTTGCAGGATTTCATTGCACTTTTGCTTAGGTCAGCACAGTTTGGAAAAGAAAAACAAACCAAATCAAAATCACTGTGTGAGAGCTGGGCTCTTGGCTTTTATTGCTTTCTCTGGTCTCTGCAACACATGTCATTTCTTTGCATTGGGTAGAATGTAGGATAGAGTCCCAGAAGGTTTTGTGCTGGAAGGGACCATCTAGTTCCAAGCCCCTTGCTGGGGGCAGGGACACCTTCCATTAGACCAGGGATGGAGAGCAGTGGTGTCTTGCTGAATCACTTTCTGAACCAAAACTGTTGAACCTGTCTCTAATGAGTGAATGTAATTTTGTTAGATTTAGTTAAAGTGCATAATACCCAATTCTAAATCTCTGCTTTATGTTTCTGTCCTACAGGGAACACAGTGAGTAACCTGATTTTCATTCTACCTCCAATCTATGGTGCGATTCAGACCTATAAAGATGGCCTTGAAAAACGGTATTTAGCTGCATATTTGTGTCTTACAGGTATGTGTAAAACTTAATTTGCTCTTTCATTATAAAGAGGGCTCAGATATGCAATGGAAAATATATCTAAATATTAATAAACCCAGTAGTTAAATCCAAATACTATGTGTGTGGCAAGTAGACCTCAATTTGCTACACTTGTTAATGTTTACAGAAAATTTAATCTGTTGCAGGAACATGAAAATAGAATTCACTAAATAATTTTATCAGATTTTAAAGTGATCCTTTTCTGGCTTTGGGTCCTGCTAAGTGTATCTTAGTTTGCTCTGTACTTTTCTGATGATTTACTGAAGGTGTCTTGTGTATTCTACTTATAAACAGTTTCACACTATATTAATATTTTTCTGACATTTGTGTGGGAAAGTAATATAAGAAGTGGCCAAGGTGTAGAGGGAAGTGGAAAGGCATTCTTTAATGACTTTGAATTTGTTTCCAGTTCCTCTTTGGCATATATCACCCAGCCATCATGTCTGGGAAGTTTTGCAAGAATGGAAGAGCAGTATAATATTCATGTCTAGATCAACTCAAGGGAAGTCTGTCCACTCTAAAATAACATTCAGAAAAGAACCAACTTCCTTTTAAATGTTAATTGTGTGACTAGAAGTTTTGTTCCTTATAAGAAAAGATGTTTGAAGATGGTTCAGATTTGGCACTTGGGTCTCAAAACTAGATTTCATAGAATTTCTGAGTTTCACAGGATTTCTGGGTTTGTTATAGCTCCTGTCTCTATGGAGATTTTTCCCAGTCTTTGGAGTGGTAAGGGATTGATAAATGTTACTTTTAAGAATGGCATGTTATGTATTTAGGTGGATGTTGTTGAAAAACACATGCCCATATGTTAAATGTATCCTTGATACCAGTTAGACTGTAACATAGACAAGCTGCAAATTCACAAGTTTTCAGTTATATCAGCTTTGCTGATATATGCACTGCTTTGCATATTGTCTGAGCACTTTCTAATTAGCCATCTGTAAATTTTCTATGGTTTCAAATAATTACTAATTTCTGTCTCAGTATGAGACAGAATTCTTAAAGGTCAGGGTTTACTTTTAAAAATATATAGTAAGAAATGCTGTGTAAATGTTTGGTGAAGTTAGGTGTTCTTGAATCAGTGTCCCATACTGCCATTCTTTTTAAACTATGGAAAGGAACCCCTTAAAACTCAGTTTGAAACTGTCTTCACCATGATTTGTAACTACCTCTGTCAGAGACAGTTTATGATGGACAGTGTGCTGCTATCTGTCCAGAATGTCAGGCTGTCACACCAGATGAGCATTTCTCATATCCCATTAAATGTTTAAAATAGTAAAAAAAACCCCAAAAAAACTAAAAAACCCTGTCTTTGATCACAGTAAATATCTTGGACTTCAGTTTTTCCTCTCTCCACTGTTGCTTGAAGGGGAGCTCAGCCTGCATTTAGACAGCAGTGCTGGAAGGCAGTGCTGAGTTCCATCTAGGCCCTGCTCATCTGTGACTGAGTTGGCTTTGATTCATGTCTGAAGTGATAAATGGCTTGATTTTTATCACGTGTTGGAACCTAACATTAAAGGTCTCGTCCAAAAGCATTTCCCTTCTGCTTTGTATCTGCTTCAGTATCTGTAACCCTGTTTTACAGCAGGTGAAAGATGTAAAGAAGTGTGGAAGACTTTATAGTTTTTCAGTGAAAAATAGGAACAAGATGATTTGGAATCACAAACCGCTTAACATTTGCTCTACTACAGAATAAAAGCAGTGAATGAGAACATAAAAAGAATTTTAAATATGGTTGATATGTGTCAGGAATATTGGCATTCTCTCTGTGCGTGTGACTGAAGAAGAAGCATACTGGAGATAGATTAAGTGTATAGAAAATTCTTTCTGTAAGAAAGTACGAGATAGAATTCTTTCCATCATATGAATTTTATTTATTAACAGGTTTCACTCTATTTATGTAATTTGTAACAAATAAATGCAGACTTAATCTTTGAAAAGATAGTGACTTTAACACAAACTTGTGATTTCACTTGAGGCAGTATGCTTCATTAAAGCAGAGCTTCTAACTGAGAGTTGTTTTGTCAAAGTAGAAATTCTTTAACAATTCTGCTGTGAAGATGGGGGTGGAAGGGAGGGCACTTCAGTTAGGTTTGAACAATTTTGAATAGTTACTGAGATTTTACAAGATACTGAAAGACAGCTGTCAAAGCCAACATTAAATTAAATCTGCTAGCATTTGAGAACATAAGAGGTGTTGTTTCTAGACATTATTTTGATCCAAATCAGCTGTTTCTTTTACGTGCTTCCAGACATTTAACTGATTGTCAGTTCCTTTGTGTTTTACAATTCTGTGTTCGGTGCTTGACTTTTATACCCACAATTTCTTTGGTTGACATTTATTTCATTTTTGAAGTAAATGCATTTTGAATTATGGAAGCTCTGTTTGTTTCACATACATGGTAAGATCTTGCCAGCGCAAGGGGTATTTCTAAATAATTGTTCAAATAAATTTCTTGCTCATTCTGGTGCCAAGACTGAGTTACACTTTTCAGCAAGGCCTTTGAGATACAGCTCACTGTTCTCAGCCCTTTTTTCTGCTGCCTTTCAACATAAAGTGCATGTTCTCAATTAACTCAGTAGGAACTAGATATGATTTTTAAGCTGTAGAGAACCATTTAATCTACATATAAATTATGAAGAATAATCTTAAGCCGTTATTTCAGTATGTTGCATCACTTGAAGTAGGTCGAACAAATCATTGGACCATTACTACCTCAAAGAATAAGCAGCTGGTTTTGTGTAATTCCTTATGATTCTGGGGTATTGTGTCAGGTTCTATACATGCCAGGTCCTCATCTCCTGCATCCTGGGGAACTGTGATTCCAAAATGGTTCATATTCTAGAAGGATCATGAGTTTTAAAAAATTGTGTCTGTGTATATATATATATATATATGTAACTTCTGGACCTAAGGAAATAAGAAAGCATGCAATGCAGTAATGTTTGTTAGATACTTCAGTTGAAATTTGGAAGGATTGTTCTGATTGTATTTCTTTGGCCTGTTTAATACAGCTCAGTCATTCAAGCAGTACCAAAATGGAGGAAAGAAAAAAGGTGCAAATTTTTTTCTATATTAAGCATAGCCATAAGAACTCTTAATTACTAAATTTAATTTCCAGTGAAACTCTGTGTCATGTATTAGAATATTTTCAGTGAGAGTTAATTCCTCTTACCTAACACCTGTAGAGAAGCTCCCAGGGCCGTGTCAGTGCTGGTAAATCAGCTGTGGTTGGGAACATTCCTGTGTGCTGAAGCCAAGCAGCGTGGATCAGCCCGTGTCTGTTCATCTTAGCCTCCCAAACACGGTGACCGCATACAGACACCCTGCTGGGCTGTTCCTGGAAGCTGCTTGGGAAATGCTCTTTGGAACAGGCCTGATTCATACCACAGACTGTTCCAACAACTCACTAGTGCAGACACTTGTACTGCAATGTCTGGGAATAGTACCAGCCAAGCAGGTGTTTAATTGTAGAGCTGTACCTCTGGAGTAACCAGAGTTTCTCCTGTCTCATGCTGTGGAGGGGAGCCATTACAACACAAAATAAATTAAAAATAGTTAATTTAATTCTACTTTTTCATCTTGTTTCATTCTCTAACTTTTAATGATGCAGTGTGTTGTTGTTTATCTTTAATTAAGTTCAATCATTGTAAAAAAATAAAATGGAATTCAGCTCCAGATTTAAATACCTAAACATATGTGTCTACCTGTGCAAAGGGTTCTGTCTGCCAGTGCAGTCAGTAAAGCCAGGAGAACCATTTGACTTGTTCCAAAATACCTGTTTAGCCAGCTGCATTACTCTTTATAATGACATTATCTGAGTGGAAGCTTCGAAACCTAGTTCATGTGTAGATACCTAAATAAAGATATCTGAAATCCTAATAAACTACTTTTTAAGTGAAGGACTTGGGCTCATAATGAGAATTTTGAGTGCTGATGGATAGCTACATCAAATTGAATTATCACTGATTATGTGATACTTCTGATGCTTCCTAAAACTGTTGAAAAAAATCACTCTAGGTTTCAAATCCTGAAGGTTTATAGGGTTCATATATAGAGCTGGATCTTTTGTATAATATTAGATTATTTCTAGCCATAGGTATTTCCCTTAAGTTTTTTGACAGTACATGTATGAAGTAAAGTTTGTAGATGCATTGTTTTTATATCATAGTAACATCACTGTTTTATCTACTGGCAGTAACCACATAGGGTGTTTGCTGCAGTACAGAAAGAGACCCTGTTATTCTATACAGAATAGCAACCCTGACTTTGCATTTCTAGTCTTCTGAAGTGCCATTTTGATCTCATAATATTGTGACTTAATGTGCATTCCGTACTTAGTGCATAATTTATATATATATATATATCCCCTGTAACTTGGCAGGTTCATTGATGTAAAAATGCCAAGTGACTTGCAGTATTTATGAAAAGTGAGTTACAGTAGTTAGAGAGGAAGTGGTACTTACCGCTTCTGATGGTGTTAAAGTTTCCTAACCAATGTGCGGCTTTTACTGAGTTAAGCTCCTTTGCTAAAGGAAACACCTAAAATATGAAAACTGTAACCCCCACTTACAAGGTAAGGAGCAAATTTATTGTTCTGTGTGTTAGTGGCTGTATGGGAGAGTTTCTTCTCCTGAAATCTTGTGTCATTGCAGTGATCATGATCGCTCATATTTTGAAAAGTTCAAAGCTGGCAGAATGTCTCATTGCAGATGGTTTTTATGAAGTAAATATTTCTTAGAAATGTCTCGAGCCTGGAACCATATGATGTGTCCCTGTAAGCTGTTCTTCCAGAAACCTATTTTATATAGATAAATATTATAGATAAAATATTGTTCTAGAATGCATAGTAAAATTTCATAATCAGAGAAACTCTAGATATGATTATTACACAAAAGCGAGAGGCGTTATTTTAACTGTAGAAATTAACTATAGTCATGGGATTAATGCTTGAAACACTAATATCTGCAGCATTCTTGATTTTTTCAGACTGAAGAAGAAAAATTAATCTAAAAATAATTGCTTCTTATCATACAGGAGGACGGGAATGAATTTGGTTGCTGATTGTTGAGATCTATTAACCCAAACAACATTAACAAAAACAAACAAGAAAACTCCAACAACATATTTTGTTAATTTAAAATTTGTTGAAATTTCTTATGCAATGATTTTGCCATACTTGGAAATGACATTTGTTACAAATTGTAAGTTTGTATTCTGTGACAGCCAGGATAATGGATGGCACTGTTTTAATGATGATCTTAATGCATTTTTTCCTCCAGAATGAACAGTTTTCGTCATGTGGTCTGTATACATAGAAAAATAGCTATGAGAGTTCCTCATTAGGAAGGTGAAAGCAGTTTTTGCTTATTGCTTGGAAAGATTTTTCAGAAGCAAACCAACGTAATCAGAGTTTACAAAAGTGCATGTGGTTGTTTATTTTCTGTTATGAGTTGTGCTTAATTTTCCCAGAGAAATAATGACATTGAACTGTTTGATAATATATTTTGAAATGTTGCTGTATTACATTTTTTTTTTTCAGTAAAGCTACATGCTTAGGTATTTAATTTCATTGAGTAAGTGTAATAATCACAGTTCTAGTTATTAACTAAGGAAGCATCTCTAGACATGTCTCTTGACTGTCTTGGCAATCCTTTACAGAGTGCACAGAGATAGAATTCTTGTTTATGCATCAGTGAAACTTGACTGGTGTGTGTAAGCAAGGTGATACTCTAGCCACAAAATATGGCAGCACTGCTTAGTGATCAAGGCTTGAGTGCAAATTACTTGGCTTTCTCTGAAACAACAGTCAGAGGTAAAACAATTTCTTAAAGAAAGACAAGACATCACATTACTGTACTTGTTCTTGCAAAATAAAACTGAGCTGGTGCTTAATGAGAGTGTTTTACTGATAATATTTCAAAGTAATGAATGATGCATTAAATACTGTACCAGCTTTGCTCTAAACAGAGAAATCTAACTTCCAAGAAGCATTATTCATGCCTGACTGAAAAAACTGTATAGGCAAAGCATGTCTTATAAAGTAACTTCAGAAGTAAATTCAAAATGTGTAAAGAAAGTATTTCAAATAAATACAATTAATTTCTTAGGAACTCATCTTTCTATTGATAAGGCCCAGAAATGGTAATCTCATTTCACAAAATGAGTCCTATGTGGGATTGGTTTGTTTACCTTGAGTTTCTAATTCTGAGTTCTAGCAGCAATTCACTTCTGCTTTTGAATCACATAATTGTCTTGAGTTGGAAGGGAGCCACAAGAATCATCAAGTCTAGCTCTTAAATGAACAGCCCCTGTGGGTATCAAACCTCAGACCTTAGTGTTATTAGCACTATATTTTATGGAGACAAGAGAAAGCTTTTAGTAAAACACATGTTTTAAAACTGGACAGTAAGCAGAAATATTGAGAGTCTTCCAGAAGTACTAGTTATTGAATGATGCTTTGCCTTATAGAAGAGTTGGAACACAGAAATCTTAATTTACTTAAAATTAAAAAAAATAAATAAATAAAAGGAAAAAGACAAATAGATACATAACACTCCATTCTTTCTGGTTCCCTCTGCTCCTTTAATCTTCGAGATTACACCCAGTTAATAGGACACAGTATTGTGAGGGGGTAAAGAGGGCACTCACACCTCAAGCCCTGTAAATTCAGGGATTTAATTGGTGACTAATATATAAAGTAGAAGGCTGTGAAAAACTAGGGGTTTGTCCCTGCAGTGAAATGCTGATGTTATAATTGCTTTTTCACTGTTGAAGCATGCATTTCGTGCATTTAAGTTAATGTACCTGAAAATTTTACATGCATACTATTATGCTGATAATAGTTCTGGTTTGTTTTCAGCTGTGGGATTGGGATCTTGGTGCTTCCACATGACCCTGAAGTATGAAATGCAGGTGAGTACTGATAAGTAGCTGTGAATCATTTTCTCACTGTGTGTATCTCACTGTGTACAGTCAATTTGCCATTTCTTGGCTAGATGAAATTTGTATAAAATGAGTTAATCTACCTTAAGTACCATTGTACATGGCTCCTGCTCACAACAAGGCAGTAATGCAGGTCTTGTTTCAATAGGTATTTTTGACTGATTATATACAGAAATATATATTTACATCTACAATAAGAACTGTCATCAATTGCTTATGTTGGTAGAGGACACTTTATCCTTTGGGAAATCATGTTACTTTTTTACACAAGATGTTATTTTAAAATACCTACAGCTTTGGCATAATAGCTAGCAGTATAAACTAGAGTTATTGCTACCTATTGTAACTTTCCTTATCTTTGTTTCTATTTATCTAGATGCACCTGTAGCATTAATACTGAAATCAGTATCTTCTGAGTAGCAGTAATTGAGTCATCGTCTCTCTTATTTTTGAGTAGACAGCATTCTAGAACAAGTCACAGGATATAAGGATTGTCCTGGTATTTCTTGTTTTCTAAAGTGACACAAGAATTCTTGTCCTGCTGTCCTCTGCAAAGATTAAGGAAATGCATCTTTGAATTAAAATCAGGATGAAGTGGGATTTTGTTCAAAATGAAGAAACCTATATTTAAAAGTCTGTGTTCCCACCACAGCCAATGGAAATACAGTTAAATCAGTGAAGTGGACAGAGGTAGTTGGCTGGGCTGAATCATTCTCCAGACTCCACTGGCAAGCTTTGCTCAAAAGAGATTTGTTTGTCTAAACAGAGATGTTTAGTATTATTTTGGACCTTGTGAGTGTTCTCTCAAGCCTTCAGCTCCCATCTCACAAAGGTTGGGTTTTCTTAGACTGCCATCACATCTGCCAGTCTTGGATGGGTGTATTGGTGGTGACAGAGCATCTCAGGTGGCATTAAGCAGCTATGCTCTGGCAGCTGAATTGAGTCCTGCATTTTTGCTGATCACAGTGGGACCTACATATTGCTGATTGCTTGATGTTTGCCTCCATAGTGCTCTGATTTGTGTCTCTGGCATATGGTGGAGACTGGCAGCTTCCACAAAGCATACCACTGTCACCATGCAAGAATATTTGGTGCTTTTCTTGGCATGAAAAAAGTGGTTTGTAGAGCCATTTCACCACTCCCTCCCAAGTTAGGGTGCTATTTCCCTGTATTTGGTAGTGAAACTGCCTTGATTTTCCACCTTTTTCATATTACTTCCCTCAGCTCCTTGTTCCTATCATGGCCAATATTTCAAATCCTCTTTCTCACACTGATGCAGAGGTGAGAAAGGGCACCCTGAAATCACAATCATTTAGATGATCCATATGTTAAACCTTTTATGAAGGGGGAGATTGTCGTTGTTTGTTTTGTTTTGGGTAGAGGTTTGGTTTTTTTTGGGTGTTTGTTTTGGTTGGGGTTATTTTGCAGTTGTTACTGGAAGTTGTATGTGTGTGTGTAGAGGCTTTATTTTAATCTAAGTCACTTTGCTGATGCTTGCCCAATAGTTCTTGTGTTGCATCAGAACAACTAAGGGGCCTATGAACTGTGGTAAGTAAAGTGGTGCAGAAGCAGATGAGAGGGAAGCAGGAATGTCTTACATCATCTTGTCAACTGATGTAAAAGGCTTTGTGTGCGGCAGAGAAAGTACATTTATTTTGGCAGCCAATCCACAAGTGGTCCATAATTATTCCAATTGTTTGTTTACTGATCACCATGGAGGAAACAGTTCAACCAGTAAATAAACTTTTCTCATTCACTTTCTCTTGTTATGTTTCCAAATCAGCATAGCTGTTCAAGGAGACTTTCTTTTTTTATGTTTGTTTTGCAATCTTAATACTGTAAATGATAGATTCAATTTGCTTAATTAAGAAAAATGTGAAAGCTTCTGTTCTTGAAAGCAGTTGTTAGAATACTTCTGCAGAGATCACTTCTTTTTCTGTTATTTTTATGGGAATCTGCTTGATTGGATTCTTGAGGACTGCACAAAATGCTTATTTAGCCAGTGAAATCAGCTCCCTAAGTTTCATTCTTTCCATGGTTCTTCATTGTCCAGGCATGCCTTTGACAGTACTCCTAGAAGCATTAATTCCTTTAGATACAGAAGTCATTGTCTTCTGCATGCAAATTCTAGTTAAGATCTTTTGAGAGGCTCTTTGTTGCTACTGTAATGTCCCTGAGATGCTGCCAGCATATGAACTTAAGAGTGTAATCACCTGTCCAAATCTGGAAAATTTTCATGTATTGTATTTCTTGTTCCCCCTGCCTTATTCTTTTATGAGGTGTTAAATGACTCACACTCTTTAACAGCCACATGAATTAATCCTGTGGCTAATTCCTACCAGACTTGGAAAAGCACATCTCTGAATTTTTAGAATACTATTACTGTAAAGCTGAATTCAGCTATTGTTTCTGTTTTGTCCCCTCTAAGGCATCACAGCAAAGATTAACTACTGTGATAGCAAGGTGCCACCAAACATTCATGATACCTTCAGCTGCTACCAATGCTCCTGATACTGTCTTAGTGCTGCCTGTTTTGGTCCCTGACCCTGTAATGCACAGGTCTGGCATTTGAACCTTGCTCTGCAAGATTGGTTGTGTGCTGGCTCAGCATCTGGACCTGGCTTCCCATAAGCCAGAGCAGTCTGATCTCCTCACTGAAGAGAGGCAGTGGCAGCGTGGGGGCAGAAGCAACATCTGCCCTATCAGTGGAAGCTGGGCAGCAGAACTGTTCAGCGCTCTTGTGAAACAGTTCCTGAGCTTTATATAACCAAAATCACCATGAGCTAGTACTTCACACTCAAGATAATACATCTCTCTTCTTTCATAAAGAATTAGATCCACTTTTTTTTCTTTTTTTCACAATAGGAAATTTTAAAGCTAAAATGGAGGTTTTGACAGTGCAGTTAGAAAACTATCCCAAACTGAGCAGAATCAGGCTGCCTTTATAAAAGGGTTTGAGTGAGCTGCTTACTGCTCTTAACAATCTCATTGTTTAGAATAACATTGTTATGAGCTTAAGTACCCTGTAGCAGTAGTAGGAAAGCAATTTCTTTACAGGCACAGCCATCAAGAACTTTGAGTGATGATTGAAAAAGGTCATAATCTTTTTTGCATCTAGTTCTTGTTTTTCTTAGAAGTCAAGCTCTAAAAGTTCTAAAAGCCCTTACTATTAATGTTTGCCTAACGTATTAGAAATCAGGAGCTGTGGATCTTCATTGATCCATTTGTATCCTTTTTCACTTCCATGATTTTCAGTCCTTCCTTAATAGGAAGGTAAGTTTAAGTGTATATTTATAAGCAGAAATTCATGAAAGTTCTTTGATGAGAAGTTCTACAAGAAAATGATGCTATGATTCTTTTTCCTGCTAATGTTAAATGACAATTTTGAGTGTACCTGCTATTGAGAAATCAACTCTCTTGTGATTACAACTTTAATTCCATTCTATTAAGGTGGCAAGTTCCTGGAGAAGTAACTGTTTTAGCTGAAACACACCATTCTTCTCCCAAAGTATAAAAGTTATTTGAGATAATAAAACCTTATGTGCAGCCATAATTTCTGGGAGAAAACCCCAACAAAACAGCCCACAAGAACCCCACATCAAATAAACAAAAAACCGTGTCTCTGAATTAAAACAATGTAAGAAATTTCTAAAATTAGGAAGTAAACGTGCAAGCGTATTGCTCATCCGAATGGGCTAAAATTGTAATTTATGCTATGGAAAAATTACATCTCAATTTCTCTGTCAAGTAAGAACATGCTACTGACTGTAAGGCCATAGATGGGATGGTCTTCTTCAGCCTGGCTTTACAGAACTAATTCCTACAAATATCTTAAGAGGCATGAGCAGCAAAAAAGTCAAGATTCTTTGAAGGTGTGGGTGTTTATGAAGGATAATATTCAAAAGATTCAGAGTAATATGATTTTTAATGCAGCTGAACAGGGTTTGACAGTGTTAGAGTACAGTCAAGAAGATGGATATCCAAATGACTTAAAAACTCTGTTTACTTAAGACTTACTTCTCCTTAATTAACTTAGACAAGCTTGTGAGTTAAAAGTAGCTTTTATGTTATGATGTCTTTGCTTTTTACAGCTGTTGGATGAACTGCCAATGATATACAGTTGTTGTGTGTTTGTCTACTGCCTGTAAGTACTTGTTAATTTTTTTCCTTGAATATTTATGAAATGTTAACTTTTGAAATGTAGAGTCTCTGAAGCAAAATTTAGCATATATGGAGAGAACACTTCTACTCCTTTCAGTGAGATCTGTTTTTGTAGAGCATTATGATATTAGAGTACCAGGCTGGCTTTAATCCTAGTTTTTCTACTTTAGATATATTTTACCAATGGGTTTTTTTTTTCAGTAGGGGAAAAAACTCATTAAAGCCTTAGTGTAGTATACAATCAGAGCTCAGTGCTACTTCTGTAAAAACAGCAGACATAATAAAATCAGCTTCAGTAAAGCCTACAAAATTAGCAACATTATAATTTATTGGAGCTGGATTTCTATGATGTATTCTGGCTCAAAATGCAAATTTCATATTTATGGCTAAACCTGCTTTTCACTCATCTGGAAAATTAAGGGGACAAGATTTTACGAGGATTTGAATACATATTTTGGGGAGAGTGTCTTAGAACATGTATGACAGCTTAATGTGATGCCAGAATATGTTCTCCCATTTAATTTTGGGAGCAATGTAGCATTTGATAATGTAAAGATGTAAATAATGTAAAGATACCCTAAGTTGGCTTTTTCTTGCCTGTTGCCGCAAGGTCTGGATTGAATATGGTTTGTTCTGTCACTTGGCAAATGCAAATGATAAATCAACTTGTTGCAGACAAAAAGAGAAAAAAATATATTTTTGCTTTTGAGCATATCAAATATTCAGCTGTTGAAAATTGTGATGTCTTGGTGAAGATTACTGGTAGCTTGCAATGGAGATGGGATGCTTTAGGACTAAACCCTTGTCTATGGAAATTGCCCTCAGTTTGTGGTTCATATGTTAGTGTGATTTGTACAAACTCAGGACCAGAATCATAATGCCTCTTTTAGCAGAAATATTTCCATTGTAGCTCCCTATCTCCTTGAAATTGCCTTTGCATTTGTCTGATTTGAATGCGATTGGAAAAAAGGATGAGAAATGGCTATAAAAAAATCTGATTTTTTTTTTTTTTAGTGTAGTCATTACTTTATTATCTTCAAAAGCACTGAAGTCTGTTACTGCATTTATAGCTCCAGTAAGATTCTGTGTATGTATGTCTGGTAGCAATTAAAATGCTCAAAAAAATGAGCTAATGTCATATAGGAGGCCTTTAATAATTGTTTTGGTTTGCTTGAAGGTAGGTTGCAGGTGGTTGTGCACAGGACATTCCCTTATACATCATTCAGTCCTGGTGATTCTCAAGCTGTGTAATTACTTCAGCAAGCCATTTTGCAAAGTAGCACATTAGTGCTGCCTTTAGACTTTTTGTTTCCCAGATGTATTTTTATTTTATTTCCTTTTATCAATTCATGATGGTGTCTGTTTCTCCAAGTTTATAAACAAAGGAACTAGACAGATGTAACTTGGAATTATATAGACAGCTTCCTTCAGCACTGACGATAATGGGCTTCTCAAAATTCATTTTGCTGGGTTTTTTGGACCTTTTTTCTGATGAAGATATAGTCTGGGATGTGTGTGTATTTCCATCACAACTGAGACTGAGACATTGTGAAGGTAGTTTTAATTGGTTGTTTTACATACTGGGAGCAGTCAGGTGGTTTTACCTTCTGCTTCTACTGGTACCCAATCTAGCAAATTTACTGCACTGCAACTGTAGTGAAGCTGTTAACAACCTACATTTTAACATATCTGAGTTAACCGTTTTGTAAGGCAAAAAATTACTGTTTGCTCAGTAATGTTTTTGACAGCTGTGTCGCATTTTAAACTAATTTCTAATTTGCCATCCATTATCACCCTGTAAGCACCTTCTACAAACACTTCTACTTCAGAAACTCTTTTCTTAGAGTGGGTTACTTCTTGGCATATGCTTGAGCTTATTAGTGTTAGGGTTTTTTTGCCTTTGATTTTTAAAAAAGCATTTATTGGTAAGAGCATGATTTTTTTTTCTTAAAATAATACATCTTTTTGGAAGGAGTTAGAATTTCTGGAGGGGCCTAAGACTAGTTTGGATCAATTTTCTCACACATTTTTTAATATTATACCTTGGAAATTGCATCCATTATATAGTAAGTGATGAATGTTATCTCTCTCCTTTATCCTCTCTTCCAGGTATGAATGTTTCAAGTACAAGAATACAGTCAATTATGCACTGCTTTTCTTGTTAATAACATACAGCGTCGTAGTCAGCATAGTAAGTAACTTTTTCTAATATGGCATTTTCACCCTTAGTTTGGCAGTTTTTCTGAAAGTTGGAGGAATGTTATAGAGGCAATACTAAATCTCTGTCACTTCCAGTCAAGAAAGACAAATTATTCTTTTGTTGGGAAAATTATGTTGCTGGCCAGAGAAACCTAAAACCTTTCTATCTAAACCACTGTACAGAATAAATAAGGAGGAAAAGCAATAATCCAGTTGCTAGAATAGGAATGTGAGAAAAACAGTTGCCATTAACTTGAGACCTTGGATAAGCTGTGTTTCTCACCTTCTTTCACTTTAATTCATCTGTAGAAATAAGAATCATTCTGTTTGACTGCAAAAAAGTGAACTGTGATACCCAGTCCAGGATCCAGACTGGTGTTTTAAAACAGGCAGAATAAGAGAAGAACTTAGCTGTTAGTTCAAATGCTTCTAATTTTTTTGTGTCATGGCTAACTTGTCTCCCTTTGTCAGTGGAGTGCTCATTCTTTATTAATAAATTCAGTTTCATTCTGGCTGTCAACCACAGATGGAATTTCCTATGTAATTTTTATTGATAACCATTTCTTTAAAAATTAAAGTATTATTATAAGTCATCTTCAGCTGCCAAAATACTTGCCTCTTCTCTTCTGCTTCTCCTAAAATTTTTTATGTTTGTGGCACATTATGTCTAAGGTCTAGTGCCCTTCCCTTTTCAAGAACATAAATTAGCTGTATTACTAATAGGAAGAGCTACTAGCTTTTTGTAAAATTAATTGAAACATTACACTGTTGTCAAAAACAATAATAGCAAATCAAAATTAAGTATGTTTTCTTCTTGCAGTGCGTATCAAGAACATCTGGTAACTTCAGTATCTTAATTGTTTTTGTATGTGTTCAACTCTACTAAACTAGAAGCCTTATGTTAGATGTTAATGTTTCTATTTGTGCTTCTTAGTTTAAAATAATTCCACAGTTAAAACCTCAGGTTTTGCCAGAGGAAACTTGAAATATATGATCAACTTTAATGGTGCATGGATAGGCACTCATGGCTTGATTCTAGCAGGAGAAGGCTTGGCAATATTTAGATGAATAATATTATGATGGTTCTGTTGCAAATTATTTCTCTTTTTTAATTGTTCCAGGTTTACCTAGATTTGAAAGAGCCTGTATTCCATCAGGTAAATCTTGCTCTGTTGGAAGAGCTAGTTTTGGTTTTTAACTATGCTATTTCAGTGGTATGTGTTACAGTATTTTACTGCTAAAAGAAAGATGGAAGAGAAGCACAATTTGCCATTTGTTTTTTCTTTAAGCAGTATTGCTGCCTGTCATGTCACCATCCTCTTACTTAGTGACCTGAAAAACTAGATTGCTTAATGTGTGTTGTGTTTTAGCTTTTGACCTAATATTTCCTATGGTTTTCATCTGTGGCAAGGGTAATGAGGTGACCCTGAGGTGTGAGAGAGGAACAGCTAAATAAGTCTTTTTCTGCTGCTTTCCATTAGCAGCTGCTTTGAAACTATGACCTTACATCATAAGATGTCTTGATTGACTTAGCACCACATTCTTCTCTCTGCTTTAACATATTAGTTTGAGTTTTTTAACTACTCAGCTTTACTTTGTGGAAATTCAAGGTGAGTTTAAGCACAGAATGCCTTCTAGGGTTTTGTACCAGACTGCTTTGTCCAGACTTAATGGCATATTTGGTACAGGCTCCTTTTGTAGCAGTATTAATATGCATCCCCTGCCTGTGGGGATAGGACCTGTATCACTTACCTCTTCACAGGAGGTTAGGAAACGATGCTCATTTCTGTATGGGTAGTTTTCCCTCATTTGTGTTTTTTTTTATTAGGGATAACAGCTGAAAAATTGCCAAGCAAAAAGCACTGAGCTCTTTGCAAGACAGAGCTTTAAAGCTTTGCTTTTTGAAATTGGTAGTGCCACTGCTTGTCAAAATATGCCTGCTGCATCAGCAGTTGTAAAAATGATACGTGGCTCTTGTTGGTGGATTAGTGAAGTGCTGATCAAGAGAATAAATTTTCAGCTGCTCCAAATAATCTCCCCTAGAAACATGAATTGTTACCCTACCTGTAGATAGAAGAGAAAATTGCAGTATGGGATCTTTTGGTGATATTAATTAAATCCTTTATTTTTTTTCCCTCTACTTACATTTCCAGCAGAAAGGTACTGACTGGGACGAAAGTGACAATTTCTGGTGCTTTTACTGAGCTGGTCTTAATGGGTTTTGGATGAAGTGACTTAGAGTAGTTTTATTAACAACAGTGGCAAAATCTACTATTTATAATGAACTTTTATCTCTTTAATCAATTATTTTCCCAAGCTGCATTTATTGGAATAAATACATTGCAGCTTCACTATAGTCCATTTTGATGCATTGGCATAGGTATTGCCCCATATCACAAAAACTAACACAATAGATATTATAACTTTTTGGGAAAGAGGGAAACCTTAAACTGTTGTCCCATGCCTTTAATTTTCTGCATCTGTTTTCTCTTAGGTTCAGAATATGAATTCCCTGTTATAATTTATACATGAGGAATCGATGTAGAAAATATTTGGATCCCATAAAAGTATTGGACTTTTTACAATTCTTTCCAAATTGATTTTTATGGAGAACATACAGTTATGGCCGAATTCCAAATGCTCAAGTACTGTAGTCATTTATTCACAGTCTTTGCCAAATATGTTGTAAATCCTGAGGAAATATTTCCCTGGTTGCACAGCTAAGTAAGGTTATTTTCTTAATACTTGTACATTATTTTAGAGTGCATAAAAAATTAAATAATTTCTGTAAGCATTTTCAAACTGAGTGGTTCACTTAGACTTGAAGTAAAATTAAATATGTTCATGCAATCATAGTTTAAATCACAGTCTTTCTAACTGGGTTAGAAAGCAGCATCAGGAGATAAAGCAGCATTTGGTACCTCCAGGTGTTTGTCTGTGATCATTTTGTCAGCCTTGCAAAAAGAGGAAGAACTAAAAGGATAACTTTGTTGTTCATTGTTTTGGTCTGGATTGTGGGTTTTTTTTTTTTCATCTGGAAGGAGGCCAGTAAGAATGAAAAAAGGATCCTATTACATTTAGCAACCAGGATCCCAGGCATCATTTTTACCTAAGTTACTTTCTACTTGTCTTTCCAATTTAGGCTCATAAATTGCCAGCTGCCAGCAGGGCACAGAGGTGATTTCAGTTTGTTGTCCATAGCACAGTGGCAGCAGAGACCAACTTTTTTTTTCTGCATCCATATATTAAGGGAGATTTTTAAGGTTTTTATTGCTTTAACTGTTGGAAGCATGATATGCATGTTTTGGTAAGTTGGAGGCAGCACATCATTTGAAGGAAAAAAACAATTCCTGCTTGACAGCTGACCTAGTATTTTTTGCCACCTCATCAATTAAATGAAATATATTAATAGTCTTTACAGCCATATATTTTCTTGTTTATATTTAAATCTCTTAAACTAGAGCACTATTAATCCTAGTTTTCAAGGTGCTAAACAACCCTATGTCCCAGCTGCCTGGTTGTTTTTAAGCCAGTATCATTGTGACAGAAAACAGCTGTGCCTCTCCTCTCTTTTCCATCTGGCACACAAATTTATTTTCTGATGTGAATCTGATTGGGGAAGTCAACAGGTTGAAACTCTACTTGGAATTAATTTTAAATCAGATTAGTTGTTCATCCCTGTTTACTACATGTATACAGAGAAAGGGGCAGGGGAAGAATGGCTGCTAGTGTGAAGTGATCCACAGAAATACAGAGACAGCCCTGGAAGTAGAGGCAGTTACTCTGGAAGTTAAACTTTCAACTCAAGTCTTACCAGTAGCCTTCTTCCTAATATGATGAGGCCTAGAAAGCTGTCACTACACAGCAACGTGTTCCTTCCTGATGTCTGCTTGCGGCATACCACATCTGATCACTTGTCATGATCAAAAACCTTGTTCAGCTAGTGAGCCAAATTATGTGAATAGTGAAATAGTTCTAAAACCCTGTTTTATTTGTGTAGTCATCTGCTATGACAGTTTGAGGCAAATTTTAGCAAACAAATAATTAAAAGGTTAATGGAAAAATATACTAAATAGCTGTTTCTTCTATGTTAAGAAATTTTATGTAAAAAATAGGCATTCTAGAGTATTCTTGTGGTGTCCCATGAGAAACCAAGCCAGCTGATGAAGCACATCAGTAGGAGAGTTGCAAATAGGGTAAGGTAGTGACTAGTGAAAAATGACTAAAGGAGATTATGAAAAAGCCTGAATTTTCTTGGAATCAGTAGGCGGAGTGTTTTGTTTGGTTGGTTTCCTTTTTAACAACCTGTAGCAGGAAAAAGAAGAGTGTACTGCTGGTATTTGTGATGATACAAAGTTCGGGAGGAGATGAACAGATAACTGGGAGACCCTGAGGATGAGGAGTGATTTGAAATGGAAGAGATGTACTGATGGACAAATACAAACTATTCTTGTTCTAAACTGTTCACAGATCACCAAAGGAGTGCAGGGAGTGCCTGCATGTGATACCTAACAAAGTTTTACCTTGATAAAAATAGTAAAGCCATGGATGGTAAAGGGCATAAAGTAAGCACTGCTGCCTGACATCTGAACTAAGTTGTGCAGCTTGGTGTGTAGCCCTCTAGTAAGAAACAGCTGAGGGAGGTGTGCAGCTACAGTCTCTGTATATCACAGCAGCACCTCCTGGGTGCTCACCTTCAGTGAGGAGGATTGGAGCATACAGAGCAGAACAGTTTGTTGTTCCAGTCTTTTACAGGCTTTTAAACACAAATGTGTTTTACTGCTAGCAACCTGTTTGGGTGGGGAAGCGGAAAAGGCAAGAAATTGAAGTGTCAGCTATGGGCATATTTTTCTTCAGTCACTGCAAGGTTCTTTTTTTTTTTTTTTTTTCCTTCCTCCATTAGTACTGTCCTCTTCTGCAAGCCATTAACTCACTAGGAAATACCAAGCCGAAAACTCTGCAAAGGAAGCTTTTCCTAGCTTTTGCTCTTTCCTGCTTTTAGCAACTGCTGAAAAAGGTAGCATTTTACCTGGGCTTTAGGCTGCCTGTAACATCTGTTTCTCTAGGCATAGTCTGACACTATTGAACTCCTTGTTCAAACAATCCAAAAGCAATATGAGTACAAGCATAAGGGTGGTCATAACCCCTAATGTGTATGACAGAAATTGTTCTTAATGGATAGTTTTTTCCCATATCTCTACTGTAAAGGAGTATTTTAGCAATGGAAATTTTAAGAAGGAGCAAAGAAAGAGAGATCGGCAAATCAAACTGTAATTTGCATTCTGGAGGAGCCTTTCTATGAGTATCTTCCTCTGTACCATCTCTCTCTTAGAATAAATTGCTGTATTTGATTAGAAAAAAATGAAAAGGACTATTTCAAATGAGGCAAATAATGTATTTATGTGGTTAGATCTTTTTAGGCAAAATGTCAGCAATGAAGGATTGTACCAGCAGGCAGCAGCTAGCACACCTGAGCACTCCCCTTCCTACCCTTAGCTTGGGACTGATAAGCACTTAAGCTGTGTCTAGCGGGTTTTGTTGGTTTTCTTTTTTTTCCTGGTTTACTTGCTGCACCCCAAAAAGGGGACTGGAATTAACTAACAGCTTTGTATAAATTACAAGCCAGAACCAATTAGCCTTTCAAATAGTTTTGCTTTGTTTAGCTCTACAGAGCAGAACACACAGTAGTAGTAATTTATTTACTGAAGTTCTTTAATCTTGTTCTGAATGCAAATGAAGAGCTGCTGTGCTGACTGACTTTGAATAGTCAGTATTGGAGCTTACTTTTACCTGTTGTCAAACATAAAGGCTCTGTTATCTGTCTTGTTCTGTATACGTGCACTGATAATACAGTGTGTGGTACTAACCTCATCCTTAAAGCTAAAAGGAGTTTGCAAATTTGCCTTTATGGATTTTTGGAAGGTGTGTTTTACTTTGCATTATTACAGTAACCTATTTTATGTGAGATGACTAGACATACTTACAGGTTAGTAGGATCTGAACGCCCCAGTTACAGCAGAGTGAGAGGCAGTCCCTGTCTCAAAGAAAGTCAGAAAGAAGGAGAGGGGTATAAGAAGGAAAATAGAACATGGTAAGGACACAGATTTGTCTGTGAGGTGTAGCACCTTTTAAAAATAGACAGCAAAGGTTTATAATTTTTCTGTTTCGTGTAAAACAAAGGCAGAATTAGGTAGTAGAATTAGATAGTAGCTAAGTAGAAGCAAAATAGGAGAGTTAAGTCAATGAACAAGGAAGAAAAAGATACTAGAAGGCTTGTGAGCCACTGGAAAGAGGCAAAAAAAGCAAGGCACAGCTGCTTGGAACAAACTGCCTTTTGACAGGAGGAAACCAGTGTTCTGAATAAAAAAAATACAGAAAGTAATTGAACGTCACCAGTGTCTAAAAATCCTTCCTGCTGCAGTGACTTCTGCATCACTCTTGGGCATAACTGGCCACATTTTTTCCTCTTCTTTAAGATCTGTACATCTTGGAGGTGGTGTTACATGGATTTTAAGTTTGTGAATAAAAGAAGGAGAGTGATTTGAAGATCACGAGGCAAAAAATAAATTATTACTTTGACTTTTTTAAGTCAGGTGATTGCATTCAAATTCATCAAGCCTACAGTGAGTCAGATTTTGCTCATGGATCTTTTCAGCGTGTGCAGCCTTCCCACTATATAATTAGATTGAATCCAAACAATCTGTAATAGTTGTTTGAAATGCTTCCTGGAAAGTTTATCCCCTTAGTGATGCTCAGTGTGGGAATAGTGCACAGTCTATTCAGGTGTTTGCTTTCAGGAAAACATTAATCAAATAGAAGTACTGCTTTCAAAAACAGCTTTAGCTGATGCTTGTACAATCCTGGGCTAAAATGCACAGAAAGAGAAGAGATAATAGGAGTTAGTTACTGGTTTTGATTTCAGGATGCTTTCTGAGTGCCATCTAGTGTTTGCTTTCCGATTTAGAATGGTGGAATGTTGGTTTTACAAAACTGGCTTTTTCCTGTAATTGTATAAAGGACATGCTTTATAATCATACTTTTATTGGAAACTTGAACAGACAGCTTTCTGGAGATGAAGTTAGAAGGAATGCTATTTTCCTTAGACTTAAAAATAAAAACAAAAAAAACAGAGGCTGCAAAAAATTTTTACTCCTGTAGTATTTTACAAGGTCTCTTGAACCCAACTGCTGAATTTTCTCTCTTTTTATTTTCAGATCATGTATGGAACACTAGTTTCCATCATAGTCCTAAGATCTGTTTATATAGTATTATGGTAAGTAGCCATTTAATTAATTAATTTAATTCATTAATAAAGCATTGTAAGTTACAACATAGCATTTGCAGCTGTTTTATTTTGGTGGGCTTAACATGAGAAATTGGCAATGGGAGAATTTCTTAAACTAGGTACATAATGTTAGCTCCTGGGCTCCCCTGGGTTGAAAGAGAATGACTCATCATCGTGCATTTTTTTGAAGCCACTGAGATAACATTAAACTAAACTGAGATTTCTACACTTATGATCATTGTTTACTGTCAGGTGTTCTGCTGGTGGCTTCAGCTGTTAGCCTGGGATTTAAACAGAAATTGAGTTTGTCTTCATATTGCTGGGTAGTGTGAAATCTGTTGCTAATATCCAAACTCTAATGATAATTTTGGGAGAGTGGTAAGACTGCAAAGTGGAACCATCACTTAATAATTTCCTTTTCTCTTCCCTGCTCAAGTATTTAAAACATATTAACACACAATAGTTTTTCTTAGAGTTTTAATTGGATAAAGTTAGGCATAATGTTATGGAAATTGAAATTAAAATTGTAACAAACAAAAGGTATTAAACATGCTAGGAGACACTGAGAGAAGCATTAGAATCATCAGAGCACAGACTTGGTAGGTAAAAGGGAGGAAAATGGAATTTAATCAGTATTGGAGTAAACATGTATCTTTAGCTCTCAGGGGCTCAGTTGGTTGCCCATTTTTGTCTATCCACTGTGAATATTTGGTGTTCCAATGCATTTGGGGATTGCTTCTGAAAATTACTTATTTCTTTCTTCTGTCATCATTTTAAATGTGCTTTTTGTTAAACTTTGTTTCAAGTTCCACGTGTGTCTGTTCAGGAACACAAGGAAGAATTTAACAAAATGTGAATTCAGAGTATTATAGAATCCTCAAATATTCTGAGTTGGAAGAGACCCACAAGGATCAAGTACATTCATTGAATCGACTTCCAATTGCCATTTCAGTTCACCCGGTTTGGCTTTCCCCAAGAAATTCTCACAGGCCAAATGCAAGCATTCACAGACTTTTTTATTAAGCAAGAAGAACTTAAAACTGATAGTGTGTTGCAGCTTTAGAAACAATCATCAATTTAAAGGCACTTTTCAAACCTGTGGACTGGAAATTTTAATCCTCGCCTAGAGATCTTAAGTGATACTACATTAATTGACCTCCAAGGGGAACTAAATTGAATCAAATTGAAGTAATTTTAATTTTGTTCTTATTCAAAGATTTAGAACAGTTCTAGTCTTTTAGATTAAATTTATTTTTTTCTGTGTAGACAAACTCTTGGGCCTGCTATTTTTCTACTACTGCAAATTCCACAAAGTTATGCATTCTCATTATTTCTGAAGCATTTCATGGTCTTCTGTCTTTATCAATAGCATTACCACCTTCCATCCCATAGTATCATTCATTGTTTTGCTCCACCAAAGTCTGTCTCTGAAGTTCCACCTACTTTTTGCTTCGGTTTTGGAGGCTTGAAATGTATATTCTTAATTAGCTTGATCACTTCATTGCAACAGTACCCTACAAAGACTTATTTCCCCCGTTGGTGTTATTATGCAAACTGGGTAGAAATTTGGGATGGGGAGAGAAGTAGGTTTAAAGTGCTTCTAAATATTAACTAAACTACTACTAATTTTAAATTAGTTCTGCTAGAGAAGCTCTGCCAACCTGAAGGTACCCTCTCTTTTCTCTAAAATTCATCCCCAAGCACACTTAGGTTTACCTTCTCTGCACTGCTAGAACATATTCCTGTGTTTCCATGAGTAGTGCTAGCACTTGGCCAAGCCACTTCCAGCTTACACACTGACCTTGATTTCTGCTTGTTTTTTTCTTACTTCACTTCCTATCACTCATATTTCTTAGTGTGGCCTTGAAGTCACTCTGAGATTAGAGTGAAAATCCCAAAGAACAGCATGTTATTCTTTCCAGGCTACTACTTCATCCTGTCCTCTCACCAGTTGTTCCTCCTCCTTCCTGTTCCCACCCCACTCTTCATCTCTTTCTTAGAAATGCTTTCTTCCCAAGATTACAACTGGGCAAATGTTATTCTCTGTTCACAAAGCATGTTCCCTGTAAATAAGTGATGCCAGTTGTTTCCTTCACAAAACGCCACTGTTTATTCCTCAACAATTCCAGCTATAATTACCTAATTACCAGCATGTTTAATATACCATTTAGTGCTCTGTGATATCATGGTCTTGCTTATGTCTCTGGAGCACTGAGGGGGTAATATTACAGTGCAGTCTTTGCCATGTACTGCATGGTGCTCCAAGCATTTACTAGACTAAACAAATAATAATTTTGCTAGTTTATATCGGCAGTGGATTTGTGAATATGTACAGCTTTTATCTGGTTAGAGCTTCCTCCACAGGGCAAGCTACCTGTTGTGTTTTGCACATTTTGGTTCCCAGTGCTCACAGCTCTGAAATGTGCTATAACACACACAGTGGAGGAAAAAGGAGCTCAGGAATGTGTTTTAATGCAGAATCTCAACTGTGGGTTCATAATACTTAAAAACAGCTTGAACAGTATTTCATGGTAGCCTTTCACAGCTGGATTTGGGTTTGCTTTTGCACTTGCCTTATTAATGGAAAAGGAGCCTTCCATGTAGGAAGTTTAGATTTTCAAGGTCCAACTTGAATGTAGATAGGGAAAGTAAATTTATTAGTGATGCACTTTCTTGCATTTGATTCTTCAGTGTTTTCCATATCTTAAATAAGACTTCTTTTCTCCCCAAATTAAATAGATATTTTTCTATTCGCAATAGTATTCAATTCAAAGATGATCATAAAAGTGCTGGAGTTTAATACCATTCATTTGGTTAGTGGTCATGGTGGTCTATATTCACAAAAGAATAATTTTGAAAGACCATATTTATACAAATTCCCTAGTATAGGGATATCATCTCTTGCCAAAGACCCTCTTCTTTTGGGAAAGAGTCCTA